TGGGCTTCTAACAGAAGTTGTAAAGCTCATCAAGATGCATTTAATAGTAAAAGAACATTAAAATTGGCCTAGTAGTTTTTGAATTATCTTTAAAAAACTTCTTTTTCATATATAAAATTTCTTTAAAAAAAAATCGATTTTTTTAAAGAAAGTTTATATGTAAACAAGAAGTTTTTTAAAGATAACTCAAGAACTACCAAGCCAATTTTAATATTTTTACACTATTAAATGCATCTTGATGAGCTTTACAACTTCTGTTAGAAGCTCAAGAGTGATTTACTTAGTAAAAAAAAGTTTTAGATAAGGACGCTGCACATTCGCACTTATAGTAAAATTTATATATAAAAAAAAAAATTTTTGTTCAGGTCTCAGGTGGATTGCCTATTAAATTAATAAAATTTATTACAAAATATAAAATTTATATTAAATATATATATAAATGAATTTTATAATTTAGCGCATATGCGTTGTAACGCACGCTATAAGATCCGGTATAATGTGAAATCAAAACAAACCAGCAACGCATTAATTTAGGTTAAGGGTTAGCACTAATGTAAGGTTAGATTAGATTGTAGGTAAATGTTAGTTATACCCAAAATTTTGCAAGGAATTTTTTTTGTTAGAGCACAAAAGGTGGTTTTATAAACAAAATTATGAGTTACAGGCGATTTTTTCAAAATATCACTATTTTTTTTAATTTCACGTTACACCTGATCTTACGATCTGATTGGTCGATCAGGGGGTGCGTTATAACACACATGCGCTAAATTATAAAACCCTATATAAATATATATTTACGGATATTTCCAAAATATATTTTTTATGCTATATATGAAATATTGTTTTGAAAGTCTTTGATAAATAATGGTTTGCATTGTTTCTAAGGTTCTTAAATTAATTTGATTTATATTCAACTTAATATTATTTATATTATTAAACAATACCAAGCATCTGTAATATGGACATTTACAATTAAAAGCATTATATGTTAATGTTAGCAGTGAATGTTCTGGGAAAGTCACCTAAAAAGATTAAAACAAATAGGTAGCACCATAAATCACTATTATTTGTTTGAAAATTAAATATATTGTCTTTATAGTCAAACAATGGCTTTAAAATTATATCCAAGGAATATTGATATACAAACTGTTTTGCAAATAAAAAATTGCTTGATTTTTTGTATAGTTGTTTTTGATTTTAAGATTGGAAGATAAGCCAAAAGAGCTTTAGCATCAAATTTGTTTCTGCGCTAACTAAAAATATTGCCTAATGTTAAATATACTAAATGTTCATTTGATTTTCCTAGTTGGTCGCATGTAGTAGTGTCAGAATACAATATTATTGATAAAATGCTTGCATCATGAGAAATTGTTTCCTTTGTCCTTTCTCACCATTTTCTATTAAATTGTTTATAATATATTCATTGTCCTTGGTAATACAATAGTGTAAACTCAAAGACACAATGATTAAATATATCTTCGTTGCTTAACAATTCTTTAATAGTATCAAAAATTAGATGGTAATTAAGATAGTATATTTCACCTTCATATTCTACTATAGGTACTTTCTTAAAAGAAATATATTGTACTATAATTTTATCTAAACACTGCTTTTTTTGTTGGATTGAAGTGGATAAAATGATATATCATATGGTATTTTTTTTGAAAAACGAAGTATTTCACTTACACATGAATCTGACAAATTCTATTTAATAACCAACTTCATAAAGTTGACGAATTCTTCACTTAGAAAATTTGGCATATCCTCACTATTTGCTAACCTAACATCAAGAGACTCAAATACTAATAGTGACTTAACTTCAAACAATCGACACTCTATAATATCCATCTACATACATAGTTATACGTATATAATTTTTAAATTATTAATAAAACTTAAAACCTTTAAAAATATATATTAATATATATATATATACTATATATGTATAATGTATATATACATACATACATATTATATACAGTACTTACATACCTCTGTTTATCTATCTCATCTATAGTATCTTTATTATTTATTTCATCTATCTCAATATCAACATTATTTGCTTCATCTATTTCATTAGTTTCATTATTTTTTTCTTTATTATAACTAATTTCTAGTCTGTTTGTCTCTTCTATTTCATCTACTTCAACATCTTTATTTATTTCATAATTCATTTTGTTATCTTCTAACCTATCTGTTATCTCATCTATTATATTGTTTTCTATTTTTGGTTCAATATCTTTGCTATTATTAAACAAAAACCCATCTGTTTTATCTTCTAGCTGATTATCATTCCATCAGTCATTAATTTCATCTTCCTATTGATTAAATTGTTCATTCCTTAATATGTTATTACTGTCTTTTGCTATAACAATTTCTTGGAGAAGGTCTCCAATTGTATTGTTATGGATTTTTAAATGATTGCGCACGGAAGAACGACAATTAAAGTATCTATTATAGCCTGATTCAGGACAATTGTGCATCATATATTTATGTAAAGTCACAAGTTAGACTAACATCTAATATATAATATAATTAAAATAATACAATTGGTTAATTTAGTGAAAGTCTATTGCTAAAATACCAGTATTAACTAGTATTACAGTAATTAACTTTAAAGTTATATTATACAGATCTTATTATACTTTTAGATTTGTACTACTATCAAATTCATATATATAAGAAAATTTTTAAAGATTTGAATTAGCCTTATTTAACTTTCTTTTTTCTGCCCACCCAAAACTTATAAAAGCTTTAATAAACAGTGTTATTCTTTATTACAAAACTATTTCATTTTGAAAAAATTTAAAGATATACAATACACTAGTTGAATGACAGATATCTCAAAAAACCTACGAAATCTTTTTGTTCACTACACTTATCAAAAAACTTTTACCCAACTATATTGAACCTAATCTACATATTTGTATCTAAATTAAGTAGCCAAGCAACTTGAAGCAAAGGTGCATAACACTTAACAAAAAATTCAACACGCAATGATAATGAATTAAACAAAGTGATGCAAAAGAAAAACTAGCCAGCATTACTAAAAAAATTATTCAAATTATTAAAAAGTAAGTGCAAACTTAAAATTTAAAAATTCATCTATTATGAAGTTGACTTTTCCATTATATTAGTTATTCAAGAAGGATATATGATAATTTGTTAAACAATTATTCCAATCTATTGTTATTAACTATTAAAGTAAACTAGAGGTATGTAATACAAATCTATGTTTTTAAGAGTTCAACTTCAATAATTAGTAGTGAAAATCATATACAATCTCAATCATTTAAATCGAACTCTTTTATTTTCATATCTCTTAGCATCATTCAGCAAAAGTAGCTAACGATAATTATTCTTATAATCCAATATTCAAAAATATATTAATAATTCACCCTTAAATAATATCTTTGCATAGTCATCTTATCGAGATAAGTCACATATCAATGCGAACTTTTCTATGCTTAATACCAAGTATTTACAAATTTATGCATTCTAGCATTATATTTTTATGCAAGTTAATTGCCAATAAAGAATATGACTATGGAGATGTCAAACTTAAAGGACAGGTATACTCAATAAAAAAAAACAGTTTTTATTCTGATCAATTTTAGCAATTCATATTAGGATTTGTCAGTGCTATGAATTATGCAAGCACCAACAAATTGAAATATAGAATTCGCTATATGGGCAACGTACACAGAAAATCTATCGAATCAATATTTGTGAGATGAATATAGAGATAAAAATCAAGGCAATAATGTTAAGACCATATTAGAATATAGTTAGCTAGCATAATATAAATTTGTATATAGATTCGAAATAGAAAAGTAGCTTCTATACTATTGAAATTGTTAAGTATTTTACTATCTATCAAGTTATTAGTTTAGAAAAAAAAATTATAGATAAAAATAAAATTATAATTAATAAAAGAAATATTATATTCATAACACCCATGTTATATAACACCTTATATGACTTACTTAGGGTTAGGATCTGGTTTTAAGATAAATAGTGATTTTTTATTATACAATATATATTAGACACAAGGTCATAATAGGTTCTGATTTCAGTTTTTAGAAGCACTGATCATTTTTATTTAGAGTATTTACACCTATTTACTTAGTACGTTTTTGAAATATTATAAAAGGTGTTATATAATATGGTGTTATGAATATAACTTTCCTTAATAAAAAATATTAATAAATTATTCATTTTAAAAATTCTTAGAATTAAGGATTCAAAGTTCTAATAATGTAATTAAATTGTATAAAGTTATTGAGAAATATTGACGTAAGATAACTATTTATTAGAAATATTTTCAAGTAGTTTTATAATTATACTGATATATTAACTCAGATAACTGATATACTTATAAAGCAATAATGATAATTAATTTTAGAATAATATATAAATGAAGAATTTTTTTGTTTTATAGTCTTGTTAATTGTTACTATTGAACTATGCACAAAGGAAAAAATAAAAAAATCAGTCCATCTTTTAACCTTTCTTCTTTACAATGACTAAAACAATCATTGATTAAACAAGGTACAACGAATAATGAAAAAATATCAACAAATTCATCTAAAACTTCATTGCAATCAAAATTATCTGCTTCAACTACACCATCGACTAATTCTCATCGAGCTTCGTTACAATCAAAATTATTTACTTCAAGTACTTTAACTATGCTATTACAATCTCTCAAACAGTACAATCAACTACATCAACACAATCAACAAATTTAAACAACTTATTGTAGTCTATTTCTTTAACTAAAAAAAGAAAAGCTAATACAGCAACTTTTGACCTTTCCACAACTATTACTAGCAATAAGTTAAGCAAAAAATCACCTATGAGTTTTGTAAGTTTTATTTTATTTTATTTTATTTTATTTTTTTTCTTAAAAAAATATTTACAATATACCATTAACTAATTTATTAAACAGTGAGTTATATAACTATGACTATTCAAATAAAACAACCTTCTAAGCT